TCGATTCGCCACAGACTAAAGAAAGAAGTGACTTAGTGCTTACTATTTTCTCTGAAAGATTCATAATTACAATTATATTCATAGACATAATTGATAGAATTTTCGCGACATACCGTGAAGTGGGGCCTACCGATGTACCAGTGTTCCTATCCGACCATTTTCCTGCTAGAAAAATATTTTCACTGTGCCAAATTTATAAAAGACTTCACTATCAATGTATATAACACCAGCCCTTGATATTCGGTTATGCCAGTGCATTCTCTTTCTGACTGAGACATTTCCTGGCTCAAACCACTGCTTACTTCCTCCTTCTTCTATTTTTATTCTTATTTCTTGTTGATTCCTTGTAAACAGCAGGCGACAGTAGTTAGTAATGAGTACAACGAATTCAGAGATTTTCAGAGCACTAAGTGTTTCCTTCACAGAGTTGTCTCAGTTATATCACTGTTCTCTGTAATGGGTCACCGTCTGAGGATTGCCTCCATTACTGAGAGACGTCCACAAGCCACCCTACATCGTAGAAAAGGAGAGGCGCAGTATATTATGACCTGACAACTTTATATGTTCAGTCAGAATTCTTTTTATTTAACCGGCTTTAATGGTGGTAAGACGTTATAATATAACCAGGTACCGTTGACGGTTGGAACGGTCAAATTAGCCTTTCTGAATATATCGTGGGTCTAAAAAACGAAGTTGGCTAGAGAGGCGTGTGGCGCTGACGAGGCGAGCGAAATTGTCGAAACGTAAGTATGCCTCAGGTGCAGCAAAACCACGAAAGCGTCTAAATCAGCCTTTCTGAATAATCAAAATCATGATCACTACTTTTTCAGATAATTCAGATGCAAATAATGATTTCCTTTATTCTCTTTTATCGAAATGGAGTAGTTCACAACATCTAATCAGATTATCTTCTCATTTGTAAAGATACTCTTGGGCTGTCTCATAATTTCTTACACATGAATGTTTTAATCAGTGTTTTTCTATTTCAACTAGGACTATTGCCAAAACCTGTGGCACGTCTGAGAATGTTCTTGCAGCTTGGGTAGACGCTTAAATACGGTAGATGTGATCTGACATTGAATCACCTCAAGATTCACTAGTCTCTTTGTTAGCGGATTTGTCCTCTTTTTCTAACTGGCTCCTTGCAGTTTCTTCGATCAATGACTAAGGCGCCTCGTCAACGTGATTATTGAGCGCAACATGAGAAGAAACAAGGATTTCATCTACAACACACTAATTTTTCAGTCTTGTTTCACATATGTCGTCGTTCTTAGCACTTCTTCGAGCGGTTAGTTGTCCAGCATCAGACATGAATGGACCTTCGAATCATCAATGGTATCAGCTGCTACGGAGCGCATGTGGCGCAGTGGTTAGAGGTGCCCTGCGTCGCACAAGAGGTCAATGATTCGATCTTGCGCTCATGGCTCACCAAGCCATCCATCCCTTCCGGGGTCAGTAAATTGGTACCAGACAGGTCTCAAGCTTGTCTGGGAGGATAAGCAGCACTGGCTCGGTTCAGCGGGAGGCCACCGCGAGTCATTGTAAAGGCCAGATGTGCATTCAAACACCTCAAACGAAGTTAAAAATTGAAGTCGAATGCATGGCGCATCCCTCAGGGATTGATCAACGCCGAGAGCTTTATCCTTTTTATCCTTTTATCAGCTGCTAGGCTGAATTTTTCTTCTCAAATGTCATAGAAAACTGGCCGAGTACAAGTTTTCTAGATTAAATGTTTATTGGAGTACTTCTTAAAAGTATGGGGATCAATTTTCAATATTTATGGCACCAAATTTTCTTTTTTTTTCTTGTCTGCAAATTTATTCCGCCATAACGCGGAAAGGATACATACATAAAAAGAAAGGGCGATTTGCTTATTCCCCACTCCAACGGTACACTCCTCCAGATAAAGGGCCTTAAATATGGATGTTGGTTCAAATCATCCTCTAAGAGATGTCTCAAGTATTTAGACTTATCAGGATGCGTAGAAGTAGCATATTTAGCAACTAAAGTGGACGAGCTAGCCTAATGATATATATTATATTGAGTTAGTGCTGTTACCTATACGTCGAGACGGACAAGTCTGGAAACCAGTTCGCCCACTCCGCAAGCACAGACGGCTTCATAAGCTCAGAAGTGGGCCTGAGAAAACATTTGTTTTTGAGGCACCTCTAATTACTGCGTTACCCATGCGCAATAAAGTTGATATGTTTTGAATATTCAAACTGAAGAATAGCGCGTAACTGAGGTCGTTCTGAAACCTCTGAAGAACAGCCCATCGCCTATGACCACATCTTCCTTTGCGTCCTCAATATTTTGTGTCACTGATGGTAAAGTGTTGCGCTCTATATCTTTCCCTTCGTATGAAATGCGATCTTCCTTGATTCATTTTCAAAAATCCGCTGTGTTTCTGTTTTTGGTATATTTCTTGTTTAGCCCATTCTAAGGTTATTCAAAAAAGCAAAAGGCACTACATATTATGTTGTTCAAGCAGCACTCAGACATGATAACATTTTGGCCACCATTCGGAATCATTGTGTTAGCGTGGTAGTGCATTATATATTAATGCTGTCCACCGTTTCTGTCACCATCTCAGTCTCAACTGATTCCGAAGCCTTTTTCTAACCCTTTGGATTACGACAAGGCCACAGCGCTAGTTTCGTCTCTCCTCCGCGTGCGGTCGCAGGCAGCCCATTGTGCGGAATGGCTAGTGGTACCTGTCACCTCCAAGAAGGTTGTTTACTCAAGGACTCCAAACAGATGACTTTTTAATATCGTTAGTGTCAAAGGTTTGCTATATAGGTAGTTATTATAGCAAAAGAAAAGCATTTGTCAACAATTCACTACTTTTTGGTACGAAACGTAGATCCATAGGGTAATACCGATGTGTTACGATGATATGGTGTGATATGGCGTGTTAGAGATATGGTGGGTATTTAACTGAATACAAGAAACAACATAAAAGCTTGTGAAGCGACGTGGTTCTACATTTCTATGGCAATTTTTGTTCTCAGTTCAGTATACATCATGTCAAGCCCTATATCGTATCCTTACATTGTAAAACAGGCAACTCATTCACTTGAACCGTTTGTTTAACAGTCGGCTTTTTATCAAAAAGTAGTGAATTATCAACTATTTTTTGCTATATATAACTATACATGTAGACAAACCTTTGGTACTTTCTCCTATCCCAAACATATCCAAGAAAAAAACATATTTTTCGCTCTTTTTAGACATTTTAGCAGTCACTTGATAGCTTGAATCTCTAGAATGTGAACGTTGTATCTCATTTTCTGGATGGTCTTCATAATAAAAAACTAGATAAATTCGTAATAAAAAAATTGATTTTGCACTCAAGCGTTTTTCGTTGAGCAAAGCTTCCCTCAAAAATTCTGTATCTTTTCGACAGCACAATTTCGACAAATTTAAAATGTTTTGCTGCTTCGATAAACGTTTTATCGCGCGCTAATAATGTATTTAGATTGCGTTTCGCATGCGGCATGCATATCTTGAACCGATATGTGGATGGATTTCGCAACGTCGGCACAGGCTATCGCATTTTACAACTAGCCGAAAGCTTAGATTACGAAAATTTAAATATTTTGCTTGATTTATGAAAATAAATCCTTTAGCGCGTTGTGGCAGTAAGAATAAAATTGACTTGCACATTTAAGTATTTTTCGCTGAACACAGCTTTTCTTTCAGACTTACAATAGCCTTTGACAGCACGAATCTCAGCAATCTCAATGGTATGCTTCAATTTCAAGAAAAACTTCTTAATGCGCTGTCGAACCTAAAAGAATGTCAAGGTTTGCACTGGCGCGCATGTTGCACATAGCACGTCACATGGAATTGCGTCGCGCGATCGACACAGAGTCGATTGCGAATCTCAATATTTTTTTGGCTGTAACAACGCACTAAAAATTCCTTTTTAACAAACAGACATTTCATTGATTCGTTGATATTTATGATATCGGATGGATATCGAAAATCTGAAAGGAAGCTATGTCAAGCAAAAGATGCTTATGTGAAGAAAGGTTATTTTCCACTATCATATCGTAATATTAAAGCCATTCAAAAAATTAGATACTCCATTCAAACTCTCAAGATTTAAGCCATTACATGACTATTGAAACGTCAAAAAAGAGTAGAAAAAGTACGTTTTTGAACTTTAGTACGTATACGGGGAAAGTACCGTTTATGCAATGCTAATCAACACCGAAAAGTCTTCTATAAAGCGTTCTGTAACCGACAACCTTCTACACGATATATGTACCACTAACCACTCGCACTACGGATGTTTGCAGCCGCACGCTGTGGCATATCTGAGCTAGCGCTACGGCCCTGTTTTCTCAAAAGACTAAAGAAGGCTTAGAATTCAGTTGAGAATGAAACGGTAATAAAAACTGTGAACAGCATTACTATTAGTGCACCGCCATGCTAGCACAATGATTGCGAATGGTGCTGAAAATGTTGTCATGTCTAAGTGCTGCTTGAAAACACAACACTTTTAACAAAGCTAACAATACCATCACTACAACATCACAGCACGCCGCTAACTATAGACGATCAAGGCCTTGCGCTAGTGTGAGCACCTATAGCGCTGCAATAGGGTCCTGTCAAGTCGACGTCGTCGCAGTCTCATCCTCCTTCAAGAGAACTCATGCCGCCGGATTACAAAGAGGGAAGTTGACCGAACTGGATTGGGAGCTGCTGGATCATCTCCCGTACAGATCTGACTTGTCCTCATCTAACTATCACTTCTTCCAGCAGCTGGAGCACTTCCTGAGCAGGAAGAAGTTCCGAGACGTCAACTATTTGCGTGGAGGATTGACGATTTTCTCTGGATCCAGGGGCGACAAAATCTATGGGCGCGATTTTAATTTGTTACCTGAGAAATGAAAGAAATGCGCTCAGGCTGATGACGCATACTCGAAATAATATTGTGTAGAGTGATATGCAAAAGTTTCGTAGAAGCACAGAAAGATTGATGAGCAAAACTTGCGTCAGTAGTGCAGCGGGTTAGAGCACACGTTCCTGGATCGAGTGAGATATGGGTTTTAGCCCCGCCTGACGCGAAAGTTTTGCACATGACTCTACATCATTGGGTATTTTTGAAATATCACACTATCGTTAGAAGTAGCTAAATAAAGACGGAATAATATTAAATAGTAATGCTAAGCAATTTTAATTATTTCTGGTTCCGAAATTTGATGTTTATTGCTCTAGTGGTGCTCTGCGTCGCACACGAGGTCGACTGTTCGATCTCGCGCTCGCGGTTCACCAAGATATCCATCCCTCCGGGTCGGTAAATTGGTACCAGACTGGTGGCAGACTTGTGTGGGAAAATAAGCAGCACTGACTCGGTGCAGCTGGAGGCCATGGCGAGTCACTGTAAAGGCCATGTGCGCATCCAATCATCTCAAGCGAAATTGAAGAATGATGGCGAATGCATGGCGCATTCTGAGGGATTGACCAACACCGAAAGCTTCATCCTTTATACTTCTATGATCGACCGCTGCATGGTGAACCGACTGACGATTGTCGATTCAACCCTAAAAAAGCAGTGGACTCTCGGCCTCTGGGTCTGTGACCTTCATTGAGTTGCCTCTAACGATGACGTCGACATTCAATATGTCAAACCTTGATACGGGCCAAATAATAAATTGATAAAATAACGCTCCTATAAACCCTTCAACGGCCATGCGGTGCGTTTCGTACCTCGCCGCGGGACGTCAAATCTGACTCAGCTAGTATGACGGCGGCGTCGCGCCTTGCGAGAAAGGCGGCGCATCTCTTAGGAAGACAGACGCAGGCATCATGACGCACACGTTGTCCGCGTCTGTCTTTCCAAGAGACATGCACACAGAGCTGTCTGCCAGCGAATCTGAAATCCTTTGAGACCGTGGACGCGACGAGACGAACCCAGGTTCTGAGGAAACAAAAATCCCTATAAAATGATGGATTTTCATTGAAAAGGATTCCAAAAAGATAGTTTTAATAAAGAGATCATTTATAACTTCCATATTTCATGAATATTTTTGTTTCAGCGAGAAAACTATATCGCTTTAAAAGGAGCCATATTACCACCTAGTATATAGCATGTATTTCTTTTTTTAGTCGATGTTTATTCAATTGATGATGAGTCATTTGATGGCCTGAGAAATGCCGATTTTCATAGTAAGCTTGGTTTCTGACTCGGCCTTCATACTGCGTATTAATAATGGAAGAAGATTATGTTTTGCTTTCAAAGTGGTTCCTTCAAATTTACAGCGAACGGTATTTTATGTACCTAGATTTTGTTGCCCCGATTATCACGGAACTTCATCGTGCGAAGGGATATAATGCTAGTGAACGGAATTTCACAGCGTGTTGTGAGTGGAAATAACGCTCATTCACCCATTTTTTTAATGAAATGAGAGCATAAGGCGCAGTGGTAAGGTGTTCTGCGTCGCATACAAGGTCCATGGTTGAACCGCGTGCTCATGACTCACATAGTTATGCATTTCTCCATGGCCGGCAAGACAGACCAGGGGGTCTATCATGTGCTGATGGGCCTCCTAAAGCCACCTACACGTGCTCTTACTGAAGTTATTCGCAGAGGTGAGAAGTGCACAAGGTACAAGAAATTATCTCGAGAGCATGGCGAGCTAAAAGTACTAAAGAAGAGCACGTGAAATAACAAAGATTGCAGCAATGGAAAGTATTCATACTTGATAATGATAGAAAAATTCTCGAGGATAGTCGTTGAAGTAGCATTGAAGTGCAATTATAAAATTATATTCACAAAACAAACCTTTTCTTGTAATTGTTCTCGCATAATTTTATCATTTTTCTGAGTCACAGCCTCTGGATGCTTCCCAGGCAAGGCGCACCCTTCTTAGTACTTTCCTCTCTCAGTATTCTCACGGTCTTAATCGGCTACTGTAAAGGGGGCGTCTCCTATTACGGGAATGAAGACGCGCGAGGAATGAAGGCGCAGACAGCACGAACTCCCGCACAGAGACGCAGATGCCGCCTCTGCGAGAGCCGTGTAAGTGATGGCGCGTCGCCGCCTGCCCACCAGAGCTGATCCCCAAAGAATTAACTCTGTGATTCCTACAGAGCTAATCCCATATACTTACACAGCTTACATCTAGCCTTAATAGACGATGTGTACAAGCCGAGGTACACGATTGTTTGATGGTCTTTCTCGCTGCATAAAAGCTCTGCGTAAACACTTTGTAACCATTCAGAAGCTTAAATATCTCTGATTTCAATAATCTGTTCAGTTTTAGAAAAAGACTTTTTATTACATTGCACAGGCAAAAATAGAAATCTGTTTCACACTCAACTGCCTTATTTCCTCGTTTGAAGCTTCGATATGGCTCCTCACTAAAGTTTCATCAGTCATCAGATAGCTTAAATTCCGAGGATTTTGATGACACAATTGGTTTTTGAAAGGTTACCAAAGAACGCTGTGAGCGAGAAGAAGACCACATTTCGCGCCTAAAATATTACCCCTCACTTGAACGCATAAGTAAATTATTGGCAATTACAGGTGGAGTTTATATGTCAGAGGTGTCTTATTGTTCCATAAAGAGTGAAATATTACAATGGATCGTTTACAAAGGCTTTTTGATATAAGGATTGACTAATTCTCATAAAATCCTTCATTTTTCAGTGGTATACCACCTCCTTGTAAAAAAATAAACAAACTTTCAACCCCTATTGGACATTTGTATTGGCTGCCTTGCGAGAACGTAGCTCGAAAGCACATATTCTACAAATAAACCTTTCTAATAGAGGTCTGAGTGGAGGTAATTCTAACATGTAGTTCGAGTAAGTGTAGAAATAGAGCGCGTTCATTATTGCGCATTAGACAGCACTTCCAAAAAACATATTTCTCGCCTTTCTTTTAGGTGGTCATTCGATAGCTTTATTTTATTTTTTCAAAGATTTTCATCTACGCTGTAGCAGTAAAAGGAAAATGTTGTTCAACACTCAAGCATCTTAAAGCGAGCAAAGCTTTCCCTCAAGAAGTTCAGCATTTCTTTATTAGTTTAAATCTCGGCAATTTTAATAGTGTTTTGATCTTCCAAGAAATCTCTTTATTGCGCTGCCACACTGAAATCAACATTGTTTACATTTGGCGTGCACGCCTTCCACAGGTATGTCACCAAGCCATCGCTGTTCAATATCCAGTCGACAGCTCAAATCTTGAGGATTTTAGTAGTGTGCTTGCCTTTCAAAAAAATCTCTTTGCGAGCTGTAGCAACAAAAAAAAAAGTGTGTTGCATATTTAAGGATTTCTCGCTAGACACGGCTTTTCTCTCAGACTTCGGCACCCATTCGATAATGCAAATCTCAATAATTTCAGAGATATGCATAGTTTTTAAAAAAGATTCTTGGTGAGTCGTTACAGTTCGAAGAATATTGGGCTTTACGCTCGCGCGCACCGCACGTCATGTGTAAATTGAGCTGAGCTCGACACGGCGCCGAGTGGGAATCCTAAAAACGTATAGCTGTAACAACGCAATAGAAGGTCCTTTTCAGAACTATGCTCAGCATTGAAATTGTTGAGATTTGTGCTATTGATTGTTTATTGAAAATCTGAATAAAATGCCTGTACAACGAAAGATTCTTGTGTGTGAAAGAAAATTTTACTTCACCTTTACAGTATAGTATAAAAACCATTTGAGAAATAAAACACATCCTTCGGATTCTTGGTATTCAAAGTGTCGAATAACTGCTTAAACCACAAAAAGGAGTAAAAATTATCTTTTTGAAATACGAGTGCAGATAGGGGAAAAGTACCGAGAATATTTCTCTGAAGACACATATTTCTGATCAATAGTTCGCATAATGTCGATGTTCTAAGTCCTTTGTTCAAACAACTGTTGTCCTTTCCAGCTCAGAATTCTTCCACTATCCATAAGTACTCAACTTCTTCTCACGTACGTCAACTCTGAATAATTGGAAAAAACGAATAATTGATATAAATGAGCTATAATGAGAGTTTTCGATGAACAGGTATTGAATACAGCATGCACAATCAATTTCGATAAATTACCAGCTTTCCTTTGACTTTTATTTTTTATGACGACTCTTGGGTTTTGTATAAAACTAGAAAAGAACAAAACTAAAAACTGTTCCTGTGATCCTCTTAATACAATGCAATACAATCGATTGATTGCCAAAATCAGTACGACTATGCAGTGAGCCATCGCTTTTCTCTACAGAAGACGCGTATAACTGAACGAAAAGGATATGAGCGAGTCGAGAAATTTCCGTTCTATCAAAGCAATGCAATAATTTCAAAGATTTTCGCCAAACAAAGAACGAAACCTCAATTAAGAAACGAAAATCGCGCAAATCACTATGCGCGCAGCAGGTTCTATAGCCGTTCGTCAGGGGTTAATCATCAATTCACAATTCTTCAGAAATCCGCAGCTTGTCCCATTATGATGCTTTGTCGTCAGAAGCCACCTCATAGCGACCACCACGCAAAGCATTATGGCTGCATTGCGACGACAGACTGAGAATGAGGAAATGAACTTTCATCGAAGTGATTTTTTTACTCAGCGTCGATTCCTTCATAGAGGATTAATTAACCTCAGGGGATTGCCTGAGCCAAGGGAAAGTGATACTGATGAGTCCCATTAGGACGAAATAGGCGCCTGTATACCACTAGACCGAACAGTTCGAAATATGTTACATTTATCAGATTATATTATTTTGAGCGGGTCCATAAAAGCGGTTCTGAGAAGAACTTTGATCGAAGTATTTTCTTTTTGATATAGAAATAGAATGGAACGAGTGGCGCACTATTCGTGGTGCCCTTCACCCCAACATGACGCAGAATATACCTCTCCCTCGGATCACCAAGTCATATGCGAACGCCTATTGCTAAGGTTAGAGGTCAGACTGAATCTCGTCCCACTACCAGTTAGAGCGTGACTTCAAACACTCTTAAATAAATTCAAGAATTCTCACATTTTCACTGCTTTTTTGCAGTTAATGATGTTTCAAAAATACCTAAGAGAACTGAGGGTATGCAAAGAACTCGATCTCAGACGCCCTCGCTATGGGTGAAACG